AGACCCTAGTCTCGGTATTGCAATAAGATCCCTGAGGTCAAGGTCATCATTACTTAAAATAGAAAAATGGTTTCCGGATAATACCTAGAGTTAGGAATGAGATATTGTGATCAAACTTGGTATAAAGGAATCTTATAGTTAGATATAAATGTCAAAATCTTCAGCACCCGCTCAAGATAGTGTAGATGAGAGTTTCTGAGATGCCTTTTTACCAGGCACAGCCATAATGTTACCTAGAATAGATAGTTATTTATAAATGTTCAATACTGGATATTATGTATATAACTCATTAAGGAAATCAAAAATATTTATTTTAATTCTAATACTTAATTCCCATTAGTGCCTCTTTCCTATATTTTGTGACACCCTTGATTCAATCAGGAAAACAAAATTATCTTTAAGTTTTTAGTCATTGTTTGAAGCATGATTTAAAGTTTTCAAGTGTTTTGTTATGATCATTGATAGAAAACTATTGTAGATTTGTATACTTTTGCAGAATTCTATAGAGCTTAGTCATTGCTTGAACTGGAATTTTGTGATAACTGAAGCTTGTCCAGAGTATAACTCAGTCACTTTAAGTTGGATTGACTTCAAACTTGGTATGCATGCTTCTTTCAATAACACAAAGTGCAGTGCAAAAGGACCAGTACTCTGCACTTTTTAATTTTTGAGTTATTGCCCTTTGTAAATTTTCATACTTTAATTTTGTCCGGACCATTTTTCTTTCAACTATAAAAGCTATGGACATGAATCTTCATATGATGATAGATCTCATTAAGAAGAAGTGCAGTGCACAAGAATCGGTACTCTGCATTTCTAATTTTTGAGTTATTTCCCTTTGTTAATTTTTCATACTTTATTTTTTTCCGGGGCCATTTCTCCTAATGTATAACAGCTATGGACTTACAACTTCATAGGATGATAGATCTCATTAAGAAGAAGTGCAGTGCACAGGAACAGCGTACTTTGCATTTCTTATTTTTTTGAGGTATTGCCCTTTGTTATTTTCATACTTTATTTTTGTCTGGGCCATTTCTCCCGACAGTATATAAGCTATGGACTTGAAACTTCATAGGATGATAGATCTCATTAAGAAGAAGTGCAGTGCTCAAGAACCGGTACTCTGCATTTCTTTATTTTGAGTTATTGCCTTTTGTTAATTTTCGTACTTTATTTTAACCTGGTCATTTCTCCTCAAGTATGAAAGCTATAGACATGAAACTTCTTAGGATGATAGATCTCATTAAGAAAAAGTGCAGTGTACAAGAACTGGTACTCTGCATTTCTTATTTTTGAGTTATTACCCTTTATATATTTTCATATTTTTTTTTTGTCCAGGCCATTTCTCATAAATTATAAAAGATATGGACTTGAAACTTAGAATGATAGATCTTATTGATAAGAAGTGCAATGCATAGAAACTGCTGCTCTGCACTTATTATTTTTTGAGCTATTGCCCTTTGTTAGTTTTCGTATTTAATTTTTGTCCTGGCCATTTCTCCTAAACTATATTGTTCACAAGGCGACACATCCGACTCGCGGAGTTCTAGTTTGGTATGTAGCATTGTTTTATGGTTCCAAACTTAAAAAACATCAATCATGGCCCTAGGGTCAAAAATGATCCACCGTAGTTTACATATGCTTTTACAGAGAAACACAGTCATGTAAGTCTTCTTTTATGAAACTGAAATGCCAAAAAGTTTGATATTTGGCATAGTGGGCCTCTACAAAAGTTATGTAATTCATGGCCCTGGGGTCAAAATTGGTCCTGCTCGAAGGGTCACTTATTTTATATAGATTTGTACAGTAAAATTATTTAAAAGACTTCTCTTCAAAAACTACAATCTACAACACCTAGAGCTTAGATATTTGACAGGTAGCATCATCTTGTGGTTCTCTATAAATCATGACACAGGGGTGAAAACTGGCCCCTCCCCAGGAGTCAATACAATGTAAATTTAAGTCTTCTTTTGTGAGTCTTCAATACGATTACCAGGAGCTCAGATATTTGGCAGGAAGCATGGCTCAATGGATCTCTACATTAGTTGTATAAGTCATACCCCTGGAGTAAAAAATGGCCCAGCAATAAGGTGAACTTAGTTTACACAGATTTGTATAGCAATAATGTCTTAAAAATCTTCTTCCCTCAAATAACAATGCCCAAAGCTCAGATATTTGGTATGTAGAATTACACAAACTGAGGTAAATCATGCCTATTTTGGTCAAAATTAGCACAAAATCGGCCTCAGGTGACATAATTTATATAGACTTGTATAGGAAAATACATTTAAGTCTTTAAGCTCACCGGAGGACAATGTCTCCAAAGTGAGCTGCTGTGATGGCCCATTGTCCGTCATCAAGCGTCCATCCGTCCGTGCGTCAACAATATATTTAAACAACTTTTCCTCCTAAACCACTTGGCCACAATTGTGGAAACTGTGCAGGGATGTTCCTTAAATCACTACCAAAGTTGTTAAAAGAATTTAATTCCATAAAGAACTCTTGTTGTCATGGCAACTGAAGGATTTTTTTTTTTCAAAAATCTTAAAAAATGTTCTTGTAAAAAAACCAAAAGATCTAGAGCTAAGTTATTTGGCATGAAACATCTTCTTATGTATGTCTACCATGTTTGTTCAAATTAAACCACTAGGGTCAAAATTGACCCCCACACCAGGGGGTCATTGATTTTCCTTATATGTATGTAGTAAAAACTTCAAAAACCTTCTTTTGACAATCCAAATGCAGTATTGGTTAGATATTTGGCATGAAATATTTTCTTGTTAATGCCTACCAAAATTGTTCAAATAAAAGCCCTAGGGTCAAAATTTGTCCGGCCCCATGGGTTGTTGAATCTTCCTTATATGTATATAGTAAAAGCTTACAAAATCTTGGTGTGAAAATCCAAAAGAGGTACATCTTAGATATTTGGCATGAAACATCTTCTTGTAAATGTCTACCAAGTTTGTTCAAATAAAAGCCCTAGGGTCAAAATTGGTCCTGCCCCAGAGGTGTCATTGATTTTCTTTATGTATACATGATTGTATATACAGTGTAACTTCTGAAAACCGAACACCTGTGGGAGTTGCTAAAAAGTTCGGAGTTTGGAAGTTTCCGGAATTCAGAAGTTCAGAAGTATCTGAACAAGTAGTAACATTAGGTAAACATTGAACACCAATTGTTTAGAAAAGATGAAAAATATAGGAAGCTTATCAAATTCATAAAATGGCAAAACTATAGGACTTTTCAAAAGTTATAACTACATTGTATATTCAATTTCATTTTCATCTATAACTGAATTTGATGATACAAAAGCATAATTTCATGTTGTACCATCTCTTAATAAACTATATTTTTTTGTTTTTCATCACAATATATACTTGTCATTTTTCATTTTTCACACTTTAATCAAGCTTGACAAGTTGTGATTGTAAAAGGTGTCAAGATAAATGGTTTGCTGCTAATTGGAACATACTGACATTTTGAAGGTTTGACAATCTCAATTATAATATTCCTTCACGCCTTTTTCAATGTCCGGATTTTGGAAGTAAATTTGAATGAATATAACTTAAATTTTACCGGACAATTGTTCGAAATTCAGAATTTAGAAGTTCCAGAGTTCAGAGGTATTTATTACATAGAAAACAGGAGGAGAAATTTTCGGATTCTGAAAAATGTTCTGATTTCAGAAGTTTCCGGATTTCAGAAGTTCCGGAATTCAGAAGCTACACTGTAGTTAAAACTTAAAAAAAATCTTCTTGTGAAAATCATGAGGAGCTATAGCTTTGATATTTGGCATAAAACATCCTCTAGTGGATGTCCACCATCTGTGTTCAAATGAAAGCCATTGAGTCAAAATTGGCCCGGCGCCAGGAATCATTGATTTTCCTTATATGTATAAAGTAAAAATGAAAAAATTTTTTTTTTTGAAAACCCAAAAGGGTTAGAGCTCTGATATTTGGCATGAAACATGTTCTAGTGTATGTCTATTACATTTGTAGAAATAAAACCCCTAGGGTCAAAATTGGCCTGCCCCCAAGGAATCGAGGTTGACAGTTCAATTCCCAGCCAGATCAAATGTTTGTTTTCCTTCTCTTTTCCTGTCATCTTTTTATAAGCTCACCTCTCACTAAGTGACAGGCTAAACTGTTTAACAAAATGGCTGCCAGAGCTAAAATTAGCAAACAACATCTACACCACTGGTTTAATTTTGAAATAATTTTACACAAAAATTTCCTTGTTAACAGTGTGCATAAATTGTTCAGATTAAGCTGTCCCTTGTTTTCAAATTGTGCTTTCTGTGTTGAAAACGGGCTCCACTTTGACCTGTTTCTCAGGTGAGTGATCCAGGGCCCTCTTGTTTCATAAAACTTCAATGCCAAGAGCTAAGATATTTGTCATTAAGCATTTAATAGCAGACATCTACAAATATCTGAAGAATAATGCAGCTTGGGTAAAATATATTCAAGGCAGACATTTCTGACTTTGACATGGAAAATAAAAATTGTGACCTTTCCTAGTAATATACATGTATCTCAGGTGAGCAATACAGGATTACGATGACCTTTTTGTTATAGTTTAGTGTTCAGGTAATTCCTTTTTAAAGAATAGGTAGATCATGTTGTCACATTACACCAATCAAAATAAGATATAAACCATTTTAAATTAGTTTGAGTTGTGGGTGGGGTATGGAAAATTTCTTTCAAGGTTATTTAAAATGTAGGGTAAATTTAAATCAATTTAAAGCAATATAAATACTTGATAAATAACATTTATTTTTTAAACCTAGATATTAATTAAATTGACTCACCGGTAATTTATACTGCTGGCTAGGATATTAAAAATATTGCCTTCTTTAGTTTCTTATCTAACAAGTCACTTCCCGTCTATCCACTGCTATGTATAAGACATGTATAAACTTGAAGATCAATTTAATACAAATGTAAACAAGGTAGTATTATCTTACAACAGATGATATTACCCTAAACAGAAAACCAATATACAGTACTACACTTAATGCGTTAGTTTGAAGTTTAACCAGAGGTGACTTTCGGTTTACCTTCTGTCTATCAAACCGTCTGTCTTCTGTCCGTCCACAAAACTGAATCCCATGATGATGCAAAAAGTACTGAAAATATTTTATGAAACTTAATAAATGTGTAGATGGCTGTCTGTGGATTGTGCATGTCTTTTTCTTTTCTTCCTATGCTAAGGCAACAAATACACATGTTTAAGATTAACAAATATAACAATATTTAATATTTACAAGTTTAAAAGATACATTCATTATCAACACCTACATACACTATAAATGATATACATGTAATTGAAAAGTGTTATAATTTCACTTTTCTTATTTGTGACAAGAGTTGGTCTGAAGATAATCGTTTGGGGGCGTTTGTCTGTTTCCATTGATAGTTCTTCTTTTTTGTATTATGTTAAATAAACAAATTGATTATTTAAAGAAAGGAATAAAAAACAGTGCTTGTAGATAATACAAATTTGAAAATATTAAACATAAAACAGTCTTTTTAGACAAAATCCCAATGATATAACAGGTTTCAAATATAATTTTGTAGGTTTTTGGTTTGTTTTGTTTTACAAAACTATTTCATTTAAATGATTTAAGGTCAGTTATCATAGATTTCAATCAAAGAAGTATGTATCATGCACAATGTTTTTGTTTAGTATTAATGGGACAATTTTAAATAACATTTAAAAAGATCATTTATCTTGATTTTGTTTGTTTGGCTATCAAGTTGGTTTATTCTTTCTTGAGGAAAATGTAGGTTAAAGACTTATAAGTGTTTTGTACATCCTTGTTTTGTATAGACCTTGTCAAATGCGTCATTAAGGCATGTATGTTAAAAGCTGTGATAAAACTGTTCAACACAGTAAACATTTACCATATAAGTGAATAGTTCTCGTATACCATCAACCTTGTGTTCTTTGGGTAATTTCCCTTGATATGAATTAAATTTTGTTGTTGTGTGCAGTGGACGATCCTCTTTTTGTAACTTTTTTCGGAAAAAGAATATATCAGTATATCAGTCTGTGACTTTTATGTGTTCACTTTATTTTTAGAAATATGAAATGTAATTTTGATAAAGCATTTCAATGGGAGTAACCTTTTAAGTTTATATAGACAAAGAAAACGTGTTAATTTTTTCTTGTATTAACCTGCAATGCACACGTTATGTGGCTTACTCTTGTGGTGGAGACTTCAAATAATGATGTTTTATTGCTGTAAATTAATCTTTATCTTGGGGATTACTGAACTTATATTGAGTTGTATACGAAAAAGATACTGAAATGTATTTGTGTTTTTTTTTGTTCATTCATAGAAACAAAAATAAGGCTGCTGTTCAAATTCTTCTTACTGGCCAATCATTTTTAGCTCACCTGTCACAAAGCGACAGGGTGAGCTTTTGTGATCGCTTTTCGTCCGGCGTCCGTCCGTCCGTAAACTTTTAATTTAAATGACATCTCCTCATAAACCACTAAGCCAGTTTCATCCAAACTTCACAGGAATGTTCCTTTGGTGGTCACCTTTAAAAATTGTTCAAAGAATTTAATGCCATGCAGAACTCTGGTTGCCATGGCAACCGAAAGAAAAAACTTTAAATATCTTCTGTTAAAAAACAATAAGAGCTAGAGCTTAGATATTTGGCATGAAACATTTTCTAGTGAGTGTCTACCAAGTTTGTTCAAATAAAAGCCCTGGGGTCAAAATTGGCCCCGCCCCGGGAGGTCATTGATTTTCCCTATATGCATATAGTAAAAACTTAAAAAATCTTCTTTTAAAGAACCCAAAGAGCTAGAGCTAAGATATTTAGCATGAAACATGTTCTAATGAGTGTCTACCAAGTTTGTTCAAATAAAAGCCCTGGGGTCAAAATTGGCCCCGCCCCGGGGGGTCATTGATTTTCCCTATATGCATATAGTAAAAACTTAAAAAATCTTCTTTTAAAGAACTCAAAGAGCTATGGCTAAGATATTGAGCATCAAACATGTTCTAATAGGTGTCTACCAAGTTTGTTCAAATAAAAGCCCTGGGGTCAAAAATGGCCCGCCCCAGGGGGTCATTGATTTTCCCTATATGCATATAGTAAAAACTTAAAAAATCTTTTTTTAAAGAACCAAAAGAGTAAGAGCTAAGATATTTGGCATGAAACATGTTCTAATAAGTGTCTACCAAGTTTGTTCAAATAAAAGCCCTGGGGTCAAAATTGGCCCCGCCCCGGGGGGTCATTGATTTTCCTTATATGCATATAGTAAAAACTTAAAAAATCTTCTTTTAAAGAACTCAAAGAGCTATGGCTAAGATATTGAGCATCAAACATGTTCTAATAGGTGTCTACCAAGTTTGTTCAAATAAAAGCCCTGAGGTCAAAATTGGCACCGCCCCGTGGGTCATTGATTTTCCTTATATGTGTACAGCAAAAACTTAAAAAATCTTCTTTGAAAAAACCCAAATAGCTAGAGTTCAGATATTAAGCATGAAACATCTTTTAGTGAGTGTCTACCAAGTTTGTTCAAATAAAAGACCTGGGTCAAAATTGGCCCCGCCCTCGGGGTCATTGATTTTCTTTATATGGGTATAGCAAAAACTTAAAATCTTCTTTGAAAAAACCCAAATAGCTAGAGTTTAGATATTAAGCATGAAACATCTTCTAGTAAGTGTCTACAAAGTTTGTTTAAATAAAAGCCCTGGGGTGTCATTTTTTTTAACTATATGTGTATAGTAAAATTACTTTAAAAAAATCTTCTTTTAAAAAGCCCAATGAGCTAGAGCTTAGATGTTTAGCATGAAACATCTTCTTATGGGTGTCTACCAAGTTTGTGCAAATAAAAGCCCTTGGGTTAAATTGGCCCTGCAACGTTGGTGGTGGGGGTTGGGGGCCTATATACAGGTGAGCGACCTCAGGGCCATCATGGCCCTCTTGTTTTGTGTGTAAAAGTCAATTTTATTAAAATGCTATCCAACAATATATTATTATTTTCACCTTTACTTGTTAATATCCACAATGCAAGTCTGAAATCAAGGGCAGACAAGTCTGCCAAGAACATTTCATGTCCGGGATGCACATGTTCTAGTATGGTGAATGTCGGGCGAGCGGATTGCGGGCGAGTGGGTGGCGGGTGGGAAAAAAACTTTCATAACAGTTTTCTCAGCAACTAACTATCACAGCCTCCTAATATTTGGTATACAGCTTTAACACGTAGTCCTATTCTGTGGTGTTCGATTTCAGGTCTGTCGCTCAATTTTCGACATGAATGGTCAATGGTAGGAAATTTTCATAACAGTTTTCTCAGCCTCTTGATATTTGGTATACAGCAGTAACACATGGTCCCATACAATAGGATTCCATTTCAGGACTGTCCTTCATCCACTTCTTTTTTACAGACTTAGTTAAATGTTCGACATTAATGGTAGGAAATTTTCGTAACACTTTTTTCAGCAACTATGTATCACAGCCTCTTGATATATGGTACCGGTATACAGCATTTAAAGGTGGTCCCATATCTTGGTATTCGATTTCAGGTCTGTTGCTGATCCACTTCCTGTTTACCGACTTAAATAAATTTTCAGCATTAATCGTGAATGGTTTAAAATATTCATAACATCACTGAGACTCATGATATTTGGTATACAAATGCAACCCAGCCATTTCTGTCTTTGACCCATTTTTACAGATTTAAGCCTTTTGTCTTTTATAATCTCCAGCTCTGAGAAAAGTGCTGCCCTCATATTGCTTATATTTGTTGATTTGTGTGATTCTACATGTAGTATGTTTCTATTTTAGAACTTAGAAGGTGACGACCATAAATCAATAAGACCAGAGTTGCTGTATGTACGTGGGAGAATGTTTAAACAAAAATTAAACATTGATCAGGTAAAGGTTAGCTAACTAGTTGTTCTATTTATATTTTTTATAAGTAAATTAAGTGTTTTCTTTCATGATTTTTGCTTTAACTATAAACAAAATTGATTTTGAACAAAGAATGTGCCTTTTGCATGAACTCCTATCTATAAGTGTCCTGTAGAAGAAAACATGTGATTCCAATGGTCAGTGATTTTATCTTGGTGACTGCTTTTCACCCACCCAGAAATTACTTTTCACCCACCCAGAAATTACTTTTCACCCACCCAGAAATTACTTTTCACCCACCCAGAAATTACTTTTCACCCACCCAGAAATTATATTAGGTCTGTCTCAACCATTATTCATGGATAGTTGCCATGCAATCTAACAGTGTCAAATCATTGGTCACTTAGAGTATTAAATTTAATAAATAGTTTTATTTAAATTTGTTAATGTATTCAAATAAGTGTCGGGAATAGCTAGAATAGCTACTGGTCACAATTGAAGGTAATGTTTACTGTAACATAAATTTTATCTCAGTCATTCATTTGCTCAAGTTAATTCACACTTCAAATCTGTGTGCATTACATAAAAAACTGTTCATGCGATTTCAATGTACATGCACTTAAATACTTTTTCATAAACCCTGAACGTACTAATGTACATGCTATTGCTAATGATGATTTTTAAAGGAGATCAGTAGTAAAAAATGAAATTCTTACACAGAACAAATAAAGCATTGCAAATAGACAAAACTGCAAAGGATAATAAAGAAAAATTCTCAGAACGAAATTAAACATCAATTACTGTCCTAGGATGATAATTTGGTCTTAACGGTACATGGGAAAGTCCAAAAACTGGGTTATCTGGATTATTATCCGATATTGTAAAAGTAAACACTTACATATACTAAATACCATTATTCGTACAATATCGTTTGTGTATTACCGTTATGGCTCTGTCGGTATATCGAAAATATTGTAACTTTTAGTGTTTTGTACTCATAGGTTCGAACCCCACGTAGTGCCATTTTATAACCACATTTTTTTTTATTCTTGCTCTGTTTTTTTATCATTATAATTATTTATTTATTTTTCGTTTTCCTTTTTGTTTTCTTCTTATAATATATATTTTTATTTTATAGTATATATTTATTTATTTTTATTTCTATTCTTTTTTCATTTTGTATTTTTTGATCGCAGTGTAATAAAATATTCGATCTCATATACATGTATGTATATTAAAAAAAACGGTCAAACTTGTTTTCTGAATAATTGACTGCTCGGAGTTAAAAAAAATGTGTCGTACCAGTAGTCGAACTTCTGCCTGTACGGGTAAAACACATTACTGACACGGCTGCTCTACCTACTGCGCTAACAAGACATATGATAACGTAGTTTTATTTCATTTTTGTAGGTTGTGGCATTGATCTGCCTTACCTATTTTTCGCATTGTTATTGGTCTTTGTTATGTAAACAAAGGCTCAAGTTATCATCCTAGGACAGTACTGTGCATTTTTCCACATAATGAGTGAAAAAAGTTGCAACACATTTTGCTTTCATTAAAAATGATTATTCTTGTAAAACGAGGTGATGAACTGATCTGGAAATTTGCACACAAGTAATGAGGTTATTCGACTGACATAAAATGATGTAGATCATGATTCATAGTCCCGGAAAAATATTTTCAGTCGAATCAGGCCAAAAACATCTCAGTGGAGTCCCTTTAATTATATAAATAAAAGCCCAGGTCAACCTGCATGTCTGAGTTATCCATCCAGTCACCCACGCTGCTGAATTTTATTATTTTCTGAAATTCTTGTTAGGCCCAAAGTCACAAAACCGTCCCAAATTTGAAAAAGAATGTGGTCTTAAGTTTATAACTTTATTTTGTCTGTTTTACTCCGATTTGAACATAGTCTAGTCATTTTTGGCACTACAATGGTCCATATCAACGGCTTTCTTTGATAGCAAACACAAATCCTATTTTTTCTGCAGGTGACCAATTATACCTACATAATTTCTTAATCAGCTGTGAGATATAATTGACTATTAGACATAATGTCAGTTCAAACTGAATGTCAGTTAAGGATGCCTACATGATTCATAAAATTTATACATACATGAATATTATTTGGTAAGGTTTGTGATAACTTTGTCATAAAATTGCTGCACACAAATATTAGACTAAATGTCAGAGTTCAGACTGAATGCCAGTTCAGTTATCACAGAGAAATTTAGCCTGCTCTAAGGATCAACCAAGCAACACCTGAATAACAAATCCTACGTGCTCAATGTTAAACTAAGCAGGTGAATTGAAGTGGGAAAATGTAGAAATGAAGACCGTGTCTATAATATTAAATGATAGTTGTATAGAGAATAATTTTATCGTACTTGAATTGTTACAGTTAGCAAAATGGTTCTCCCCCTATGGAAATGTGGATGTGAAAGCATATGGCCAAAATAAAGCATTGGTTGCTACATCAAACCACTACTGGTAAGACATTTTATTCTGTTTTTATTTTTTGTGCCATTTCAAAGTCATGATATGTGAATAACTAATTTATTTCGACAATATTTTGTGTTAAGAATACTAAATGCCAATATAAATGTTTAAATAAAAACAGTTATTTGTAGTAAAATTCATATGCCTGAAAAAGTACACTAACATGTCACAAAATCTACATATAGTTGACTGGAAAACCTAACGAAAAAATAAAAATGATATTAATAAATTTCTAATGAAATTATATTTTTGTCTCCACACATAACATATGTTGGTTAGATATGGGGAACAGTAGACTGTTTGACTGAGAAATTGATTACAGAACAACAGTTGTCTAATATAACACACTATTTAAAGCCCATTCAGAATTAAGCTTTGATAATTACTGAAAATCTCAAAAGTTATAAATAACAAAACTTTTAATTCATTTATTTTGTTGTATTATTCTTGGATAATACTAATCTATGAAATGACACCATCTACGTCATGTATTATCCAACAAAATCTCCAAACTGAAGAGTATCAAAGAATGACGAATTATGTTCTCATGTTATAATATATAAGACCAGAGTTATCTTCTTGAATACTTAATACAGAACATTGACTACGTTTCCTTGCTTCTAACCAGGGACTTATCGCATTTTAAAAGCTGAATAGATATCTGTATTTCCATAATATCGTAAGCGAGACCTTTAATTTAAGTTGCCCCAAACCCCAAAATAATCATTCCCAGCAAACACATGACGTTAAAATAACGCCTGATTAATGTTAGATTTTGGTCACGACATCGGCGACCAAAATACGACGTTAATCTGACGTTAAAATACCGATGTCTAATAGACGTTTTTTTTTGACGTCGTACTAAAGTCAGGTTCTGGTCGGTGTCCTGACGGTAGGTAAAAAAAATTACAAAAAAAATCCTTATTCGCTGTTGTAATCATTTAAACTTTTTTTCAAATGTTATTTGGATTACAAATGAAGTGTTCTTATATAAATACAGACCGAGATCGCGGCGCTGCAACCTAATAAAACATATAGGTGGCGCTGTATATAGGCAGTTACATGTGTTATTGTTATGAAATCTATTTATAGCCACAGATCTGTTTACAAGTTCCAATCATTTAACGTTGTAATATTATCATTTGTGCTACATTATATGTATCAAAATTACGAGTTTTTAATAGTGCTTTAACATTTAATCATAGTGGCAGAAAAGGGAAAGAAAACATAATTAACCTATAATTCGAATCTAAAGTCACGTGGATGAAAATTCAAATTCGTAGCCGTTACGTATTGGCTGTCGGTCAGGAATCGGGATGCATTGATAAGTGAATATTATAGATTTTCTTGAACAAAAAGGTCAGTTCAATTTATATAGATTTTTTTCTACTTTGTATTTGATAAATAATTGCATGATTGCAAGCACTCTTAAATTTAATTATCATTATTTGAACAGCTGAAGTGAAATGTCACACAAATTCGCGATAATGTCTAATAATAAATCTTTTTAAAATTGACATGTTTTAACACTGCTTGTGAAGAGTTTATAATATGATTTTCAGTACTACCAAAGAGAATGCTTAGTTTTCATATTTGTCTTAAACTGTGATGTTTTTGTCAGTTAAAATCTGAGAATTGAGAATGAATTTGTACGATTTCGAGCATTTCGGACCAAGACGTTTCGGTCCCAAATAACCCAAAACGTTCCGGTCCCAAATAACCAAAGACGTTTTGGTTCCAGACATTTCGTCATTAAATCTTTAATTTAAAACTATGAAATATTTAAGACTTGCGTAACTGTTCTATTTCAAACGTAGAATATATACATAAGTTAGAATATTTTTTTTTTCAGGTAGTTAAAGTGTTGGACATGCTCTCAAAGGTCGGAGGGACGGAAACACGTGAATATGTAAAAAGAAACATATGAAAGTAAGATTTTTGTAAATTCTATTACATACTTTAATCCATACTAAACTGGAGTTTAAAAGCGGCATTTTAAATGTTCAGTATTTATGTTTACTTTTATTTTTTGTTAAAGCTCTCTTATAAAAAGTTGGCAAAATTGTTCATTTAGGTAAGATAACCATGAAAACATTTTTGCTTGTTATTTTTACATGTTTCATAAATTTCTTTTTTTTCAGTGAAAATGATGTCACACACGCTATTGGGCGCTACAAACGCTACATATCCTCCGGACAAACGAGGGGTGCTGAAAGAAGGTCATATCTTAAAGCATCACACCTCAAAATTCGTGCTAATTCTCATGGATATCTAAAAGTATAACTTTGTGAAGTAACTAAAAGGCAGCAATTTATACGTTACTGACAATAATCAAAGGAGGTCAAAATATGCAAAATGGCACTAAATGTTTTAGAAATGCTGTAGATATATAGTTAAAGTACTGAAAATCTGTCATAAATTGCTTGAAACATTATTATCAGAATCTTTTAACTTTTCTTAAAATTAAATAGAGGATATTTGTTTGTTTCAGTGTAAGATCGAAAAATATTTCACCGAGTGAACACCAGATGCAATATTTTCCACGAGTGGCGTAGCCACGAGTGAAAATATAATAGCTGGGGTTCACGAGTGAAATATTATTTGATCTTACATGTAAAACAAACAAATTTTCTGTTTATTTCATGATGTTTTAACGATTTTTACACCATTTTACTGATTTTTGCCGCGTAACGTCATGCTCTTATCTTCATGACGTCATCAAAATAATGACGTCACAATGTTGAAGCAAAAATATAATTCCATGATTATTTTAGATTTTAGATGTTTTTCAGCACAACGTTCGTAAATATTTACGAACTACAGTTATCACGTACATTTTTTATTATGATTGACTACATTTTCCGCTGAAAAAAAACATTCATTAATGATAAATATTTTATTTTTACGCCAAATATAGTTCGGCTACTGTGAAATTATATTTGGTAATCATTACTGTGAAATTATCAGAATATAATTAACTGTTATAATTCAGTAATCTACTGCAAAACATGTAATAAAATATTTTCATTATTTTATTTGATAAGGCAAACTTTGATAGAAATGTGCATACATTGTTTTGTTCTTTAATATTTGTACATGTTTTCTTACTTTCATTTATGTCATTGTTTTTGTAATACTTTTTGTTTTGTAATTAACTTATTTTATGTTTTATTTTGTTTAATTTATGAAAATTATTTAACCTTGCAGAATTTACTAAAATTGTATGTATCAGCTTAAAATTGCAACTTTTATTTTAAATTAAAAGAGCATGAAACATATTTTTGCTTTTAGTTTTCTGTTATACATTTAATTTGAGGGAAAGTTACTTAATAGAATGAGTTACATTAAATTCAATCAAATCAGGATTAGCCAGAAAATATTTATGACGTGGTGAAACAAAAAAGATTAGGGGAATGATAAGATGAAGGTCAGAAAATGATCAGATTTAGGGCAGAAAAGGGTTAATATTTAGGTCGGAAAATGGTCAGATTGAGGTCGGAAAATAGTTAGAAACTGGTTAGATTTAGGTCGGAAAATGGTCAGATTGAGGTCGGAAAATGGTCAGATTGAGGTCGGAAAATGGTTAGATAATGGTCAGATTTTGGTCAGAAAAAGGTTAAATAATGGTTAGATTCTGACGTCTACCTAACGTCAGATTATTACGTCAAAAAAACTCAAATCCAACCGTTTTTCCGACCGTCATCCGACGTCAGAACCTGACTTAAATCTAACGTTAGTATGACGTCTTGTGTTTGCTGGGTTGTATTTCAAACTCGATTTGTGTTTCATGAATCATTTGTTTAATTTATTTGTTTGTAAAACATTATATTTCAGGGTACACATGTTTAAGGTTATAACTTATTTAAACTGTAATGTCTAAAGGTTGTTAACTTAAGTGGATTTATGTGAAATTCTTACTGAAAGTGAATGAAATGTTTTCTTTTGAAAAGTAACTGTAGGTCTTTTTCTTTAATTAATGTTATATCATAATAAATTGTATGCAATGAAATCTTTGTATTTTATTATTATTTTTACAGTGCCAAAGATATTTTACGAGCATTTAAACAGCACAACACAATCTATGTGACATATTATAGTGTATGGAAACACTCACCTATTGCCAGGGGACTTTTGTGGTAAGTTGTTGTTTTCACAAGCTTTTAGATAAAATTCTAATCTTTTTACTAGAATGGTGAATTTCTGTCATATGTTGAGGTTCAGATCGGAAGTCCATCCAATTTCCTGCATTTTCTGCCATATTTTAAATGTACTACTTCAATAAATTATTGTTTTATAGAAATTATTGTCATTTCATCCACTTCTATCTCCTAATAATAGCGTATTGCTTTACTTTTTAACATTAAAACAAAAATCTTTTATTTGCTATTGCTGCTTCTGATTTTGCATATAACAGTGTTGAATATACTTCTTTTACCTAAATAAGTCATTTAGATGAAAACTTATTGTTATATATATATTAATACTCCAACTCTCTATTGCCAACTTATGTCAAATTTACAGTGTAAATCAACTAGTTTTGACTGGGTTTTACACAAACGCAATGTAAAAAGTAAATAATTTGTCTTTACTCAATAATATGTAAATTATTGAATTCACCAAGAAACTGGATGCAAACATAGTGGAAACTGTAAGTATGTAAAGGAAAAAAATATATAATGAAAATCCTGTAACAAACATAAAAGAACAATACAAGAGCTTATACTTCTTTCCTTATATTTTTAGGACAGGGGTTTTGCTATCAGGAAGTGCTTGTGTTGTTGCCTTATTGACTGGTGATAAAAAAACATGACCCAAAAGAGACTTGACTAAAGGAAAAGACTTGAAGTCAAATAAAAGATGTGAAATTGACAGAAAAGATGGAATTAACATAAAAAAGACTTAAGTTTACCAAAAAAATGAAAAAGCTGGAGATTTTCTGACAGTCATACAACTACTACTAAATTGATGGTGAATCTTGCGTGGCAGGATTGGGAAATTACAATTACTGTTGGAAATCTTGTAGATGATTTTATGGAAAAAAAACAAGATGTCAGCATTGAAAAATTGAAATGTCATTTTATATCTCAACCACTTCGGGATAGGGGCAGTCATGTAGAATTTTCATTGTCCGTTTTTCATACTGTCCTGTTGTACGTCAAGATTGACAAAGCAGTGAAATGTTGCGGCATCTGTGTCCCATGGACACATTTCTTATTATTACAATAAATGTATTCGGAAAAATTCAAAACTGAAATATGAATCAGCATGAGTTTAAATCAGTAAATTATTTGATTGCTTTAGGAACTGGCATATTGTAGCTTAGTTTGTCACACAAGGATAAATAAATTTATTTGCAGTGTATAAAGCCATTATAGCAGGCTTTGATTAATAAAATATGTTGATCAAATCATTGAAATGAAGAAATTTGTTATTAACTTCTTGTTGTTACCGGTTTTTAGAAATTTTATTTTCTTCTTTTTTGAATAAAATTCAATTTCTCTTTTATTTATTATTTTTTTACACCACAGGGGTTAATTGTTCTTTAAAATGTAACAGAGTACATGTACATAAGTAAAGTATTGTCAACAAAAGTGTAGAATTTAATAAGGCATTTTGTCAGATATTTTCTTGACACATTAAGTGTGTTGCCATCTTTGATACCATGTATGGTTATTACAGATTTGATGTTAAAATGCTTCATTTTAATCAGATCATTTGTTGGAATTTTAAGGATTTGAAATTATAACTGTAAAATTTGGCTTTATAGAAGATGAAAAAATACTGAGCTCTTCCAAAAGACAGTCGACCAAAACTTACTAATGGTACTTGGCTCGTCCTACTACTTCCATGTCATACCTAGATTACACATCAGGAGGAAGGTACAAACATCCAAATAAACCATTAGTTATACATAAAGCCTTAGGTACTCTTAAAAGGCTTCCCTATCCCAACCCCTTCACAAAAACCCTGGGTTGTACATTCTCGCATATTTATTTGGTTTGTAGCCATCATCTTTTGGTCATCTACAAATGTTAAATAAACCATGTCCATTGGGTCAAAATTGACCCCTCCCCTAGGATCTAATATTGGAACTGCAATGCCATGAGGTTATTCAGTTAACATGTAGAAATTGCTTAATGAATCTCTTAAAAAATTTATGAATCCTTTCCCTAGGTCAGCAATATACTTACCGTGACATTCAATTATTATTCGCACTATACCTCTGCCCTGGCATGTAAGAAATTAAAGATCCTTGCAAAAGTGAAGGCAACAAATACTGATAAACTGCTAGACAGCCTGCCCAGGAACGATTCTGTGGCTGAGCTGTGCTATTGTAAATTCAATGTGGCTAATTGCGGTGATCTGGATTTACAACTACAAATACCACCACCAGGATGAGATCACAAGTGTTTGCCTTTCAAAAAGCAATATAATGTTGGCAAATTGAAAGCCTGAAATTCAAAGCAGAGCTCAGAAAATAGTTTTATAACAAAGATATAAGGCATGAAGCATTACCTTCAGGTCCTCAAGAAAAGTTATACAATTCATGCATCTGGGTCATAAATGAACACATCCCAGAAGTCACATAGACGAAATGTATAAAAAAACACATATAAGTATTAAAGGCCCATCATGCTTCAGAAATGCGTTTATTTTTATTTCTCAATACCTTTTTGGCTCACTTGTCACAAAGTGACATGGTGAGCTTTTGTGATCACTTTTCGTCCAGCGTCCGTCCGTCGTCAGTAAACTTTTACTTAAAACGACATCTCCTCATAAACCGCAAAGCCAATTTCATCAGAATATCCCCAGGGATCCCATTCATGGACAGATTCCCGAGGGACGGATATTCCGATCCGAACCGCAAACATATGTCATTTTTTCTTGCATATTCTACCATAATCCAGCATATTTTTAATTCTTTATCTTAATAAAAAAAATTTCCATGGACATTTATGTCATAACAACCGTATATATTTTCGTAAAACAGTGTATGAAATTTAAACTTCATTCATTATACGGCAAAATTACATCATTCAAAGTATGACATTGTATAGCACGCGACTCATCTGGCACCCCCATGACAGATGAAATTTCCGGCATGATCAAAATTGATGGAAACACCAGTCTGATATGCAAGAAATACTTGTCAAATTGTTATAAATGAAAGTCTGGATTTCTATTTAGTGATATAAAATCCATATTACTCAGCGAATATCACTCATAGTGTTGTTAACATAGCTTTGCTGATTTTTTTGTGGCCTGCGTATTAATTCATGACTCCTTAAATTTACTTAAAAATGCAATGTGTTTCTTATACTTTAAAGCATATTTCTTGCTTCAAAGGCAATTACTGCACTAAAGTAATATTTTTTTCCACCGCAATGATGTCTTTATTCCGCAGTAATATTAAAGTCATTTTCAGCTTGACTATTCACAGAAAAATCAAGCTAATGCGGTCACTCATTTGTTGGCGTCAGCGCCCCTGTGTTTAATTTTTTGCGTGTAAGCTGCTATCTCCATAAATACTGAGGAGAATGGATTAAAACTTTACCCACTTGTTTTCTGTGATTATCTTACATGATTGGCTTAAGTCACAAAACTGATGATTTGCTTTATTGCATAATTATGCCCCTTTTTCGACTTAAAAATTCATGGTTAAGTTTTTGCTTATAAGCTGGTATCTCCATTACTTTTGAAGAGTTTGTGCCATTTTTGTGACAATTTAATGCATTCATAATAATCAAGCAGTGATTTACTCGATAAAACATCTTAATAACAAGCCGTTGTATCTTTTCAGATAATTTTATGTATTCATATAGGTAAGCATTATTATACTCAATAAAAACACACTTTTGACAACTTTTTCGAATAGTCAAGCAATGCTGTCCTCCGACAGTTCTTGTTTATACGAGCATATAACAACTGTGTTATAAACTTGTTCGAGTAACCTTCAACCTCTGACGGACATTCCCTCAATCTTATTTTAAGTACCATAAGCAAGAGAATTTCAAGGAAATTTATGAGTTGACAAATCTCATTTCATCTATTCAAACAACACTAGATATATTGTCCTTGCAACAGGGAACACTTTCGGGGCTTACTTACTTCAAACAATCATCACATGTATTCTTTTGATTGTCATTTCATTTCCAGGGTCAAGATGTTTTCCAAGTGTAATTTCTTTATCCTTATACATGTATATAGTAACATGTAGGGGCTGATATACATTATATAAATCAGAATAAACACTTTAATGTAAGTAGAATAAGGAAGATATTACATCACATGGGTATCATTGTTTAAATATAACGGACATTAAATGAAAAGAGTATATAATTAAGAGACAATTGCTCTGCTTAGTGGATGTGTGTGTAAAACACTTTAAGTTGTTGAAATCCCATCCTGCTTTAAAAATTATATAAAATTAAAAAATAAACCGAAACGCCGTGTTTTATAATAATAATTGCTGTTAAACTTATTTATTGAAAAAGCCAGTTTTAGTCACAAGTGGCTCTGAGAATATGACATCTTAATTTGAAAGTAGCGAAAATGGATGATAATTTGGTAACATTGAATAAAAATTGAGTGATATTGACTAAATGGGCTAATTTCAGTAAAAGTAAAATTGCAACTACGTATTGAATGACCCCAATAAAATAAAATATTGAGAGAAAGAAATCATTAAATGTAACGTCATAATTTCTTTAAATTTCATCAATAAACATAATGTAATGATATCGTTAAAGCAGCATGCCTTAAGATCCATGTTTATTTTCATAACAATTTGAAAAATCTATTTAAAAGTAAAATATTGTGAAGTGAACAAAGGAAGTAATTTATCATGTTATTACATTGATTTCTGATGATAAAGTAATTGCCTGATAAGTTTAGCTTTATCAGACACCTCATCAATAGATATTGAAATAAAATTAAGAGAATGACTTATTTTTACCTCAAACTGGTTTGAAATTTTGGGACTATTTCTTAAAGATATGACCCGTGGCATATTACTGCGCAGGGCATGAATTCAAAAGGTTTCTGACAGGTTTTTGATTAATTTGACATTTAAAGAAATAAACGCATACTAAAATTGAAAACATGATTATTAGAATACCAAACCAGATTATTATTATAAAATTTATCAGGCTTGGCATGAAAAAAATGAAGGGCTCAGCAATGCTCTGCCCTTCTTCTGACCTTTTTTTAGCTCACCTGTCACAAAGTGTCTTGGTGAGTATTTGTGATCGCTTTTCGTCCAGCGTCCGTCCGTTTTCCGTCCATAAAGTTTTAATTTAAAAGACATCTCCTCATAAACCGCTAAGCCATTTTCATCCAATCTTCACAGGAATGTTCCTTTGGTAGTCAGTTTTAAAAATTGTTCAAAGAATTTAATTCCAAGTAGAACTTTGGTTGCCATGGCAACCGAAAGATAAAACTTTAAATATCTTCTGTTAGAAAACGAAAGAGATATAGAGCTTAAATATTTAGAATGAAACATCATCTAGTCAGTGTCTACCACGATTGTTCAAATAAATGCCCTTGGGTCAAAAATGGCTCTTCCCCGGGGGTCATTGATTTTACTTATTTGTATATAGTAAAAACTTTAAAAAAATCTTCTTTTAAAAAACCAAAATAGCTAGAGCTTAGATAATAAGCATGAAACATCTTCTAGTGGGTGTCTATCAAGTTTGTTCATATAAAAGCCCTGCCTTTATCAGGGGATCATTGATTTATCTTATTTGTATATATTAAAAACTTAAAAAATTAAAAAAAACAACAAAACAACAAAATAGCTAGAGCTTAGAAATTAAGCATGAAACATCCTCTAGTAGGTGTCTACAAATTTTGTTCAAATAAAAGCCCTGGGGTAAAATTGGCCTTGCCCCAGGGGGTCATTGTTTTTTCCCCATCATGAAACATCTTCTAATGGGTGTCTACCAAGTTTGTTCAAATAAGGGCACTTGGGTTAAAATTGGCCCCGCCCCAGGGGTCATTGATTTTCCTTATTGTATATGGTAAAAACTTAAAAAATATTCTGTTAAAAAAACCAAAGAGCTAGAGCTTAGATATTAAGCATGAATTATCTTCTAGTGAGTGTTTACCAAGTTTGTTCAATAAAAGCCATGGAGACAAAATTGGCCCCGCCCAAAGGGGGGTCATTGTTTTTCCCTATATGTGTATAGTAAAAACTTAAAAAATCTTGTTATAGCTAGAACTTAGATATTTATCATGAAACATCTCCAAATAGGTGTCTACCAAGTTTGTTCAAAAGTTGCTCATTGGCCAATTACAATGTATCTGAACCAGCTGTTTCTTCTGTTGCATTTGGTATTGAGTATAGTTATAGCTGGTACAAAAAAGATTATTTTTTGTCCCAAATTTAATGAACAATACCCAAAAATTGTTGAAGATGTCAGAAACTGTTATTTCTTTGGTAAGTTTGCTGATCTGTTATGGCTAGGCTAGAGTTTAAAATCTAAAAATCATGGAAAACCAATCAA